ACAACAATAATTACATTAATAATAATAATAATAATAATAATAATAATGATGATGATGACGATAATAATAATAATAATAATAATAATAATAACAGTAATTATTATAATGATGGTTATGACGATGATAATATTAATGATGTCCGTCGCTTGGTTAACAACAATGATAATGATGATGATGATAATAATAACAATAATAACAACAGTAATAATAATAATAATAATAAAATTGTTGGTGATGGTGATGGCGTCAAAGCTGTTGATTGCATTTTTGAGAATAAAAATTGCAATGCTGCTGACGTTAAAGATGACGAAAACAACAACAACAATAACAACAACAATAACAACAATAATAACAACAACAACAATAACAACATTAACAAAAGAAAACACTTCACTGATGATGATGATGATGATGGTGCTGCTGATGTGGTTGATGATGACGATTCTAAATTAGAAATAAAAAAGCGATTGATTGATTGGAGCTTGTGTTCAACGTCAACTATGACGTCAGCCTCACCTTCAGCGCTGGTTATTATGACGTCATCGACATCATTAACAACAACAACAACAACAACGTCATTAATGTCACCAACATCAACAACTGATGTAAAATCGTCATCAACTACCATACTTTCATCATCAGCAACAACGACAACAACAACAACAATGTCATTAACTTTTTTAAGTTCGGCTGTTGTATTAGGTAATGACGTCAAACGCAACATCAATAACAGCAACTTAAACAACTCAAACAACAGCAACAACATCAACAACAACAGCAACAACAACATTTTGTCAAAAGGAAGTTTCAACATCATAGGTTGCAATAACGAGGGGCTGTTGAGTTTTGAAAATCTGTCTAAAATCAACAACAACGGAAAGAACACAGCGTTTGGAAATTTCAATGTTGACTTCTGCAATCGCAACAATAGCAACAACAACAGCAACATCCACAACAACAACATTGGTAATATTACCAGCCATGACATCAACATCAACAATAATGACTTCGCCCACAATAACAGTAATAACAGCAACAGCAATGACAACAATAACAACAACAACAACAACAATAATAATAACAATAATAATAATAATTGCGATGACGTCAACCTCGATCTATCATCACTGTTCGATTGTTGCTTGGAACAACAGCCGGCTGTCGCCAGCAACTTTTTCGATTTTGAATCAGGGAGTGTGAAAAATGAAAGTATTGGACACCGATCTGACGCCGACAACACTAACAACAATAACAATGAAAACATCAATAG